ATGGCATTTATATGCTACTGGAGAAGTATACAGAGGCTGCAGTAACCAGCAGAATTAATTCCACTGGTCAGAGAAGGATGAGTTGCAACTAGAGCCTTCAAAAAAAACAGTAGTGTTACTAACTTACAAATCGCAAACGGCAATGGATCCAGGAATAAGCCAAATCCCATTTTGTTTTAAAATTTCAGTAAATTTTTCCATAAATTCCAATTTAGGATGAAGTACATTCAAGTGCGCATTCCAACTAGAGCTTTGTGGAGAGAGATCCATGCGATTATCTAGCTTTCAGAGTTTTCATTTTGCATATATAGTACTCTGTTCTGAATTTGCCTGTTAAGCTGAAAGTCTCATTTGGACTCATACATGTCCAAAATGAGTGTGAAGAGCTTTCATTACAAAGAAATCTTCTCCAAAGAATTGTTAGTAAAGATGTGTGGTGAAGAACTGGAATCAGACCAGCTCCACTAATTTAACATTTTATACATGAGGCACTGATAAAAGGTAATTGCAGGGTGTGTGTGAAGAGGAAAGAGAAAGGCATATATCTATAGTTCATGTTATTTATTCATTTCTATTTGTGGTAGATCAGATGTCAAATGAGTTATCCCAAACTTTCCACTTTTTCCCTTTCTGCCTGCTCCTGCCAGCAAAAGGAAAAGAAGAGAATGCCTTTACAAAGACAGAGACAGGCAGTTCCTAGCTGTCCATAAACATGGACAGCCATAAAAACACCTGTCCATAAAGTCCATAAATAAATTTAAGCCCTCTGTGAAACAATCAAGCTCCTGCTGCTTTGTTAGGATCCCTCTTTGAAAGAAGCTGGACAGCGGGAGCGTGACTGATTGACAGACAGAGCAAAGCAGCACCATCAGGTGTCCCAACAGGAGTGCAACAACCAGCAGGAAGCTGCCCTCTTTCAGTGCTTTGTAGAGGCCTCCCCCTCTAGCCATGTGCTGCTGCTGCTTCTCATCCTGTAATATTGCTGGGTTGCAGGTAGGCTTCTTCAGGGTCGGTCTGTGCTGCAGCTAGGGGAGCAGGGCATAAGGCTGGGGAGGCAGCATGCTACAGGGTGCAGTTAGGGGTCTCAGGGTGTGCAGCAAGTAAGGGGACACCCTGTTACCCCCATTGCTGCAGTCACATGGGATTGCCAACCCAAGATCTTTATTTTTACTGACAATAAAAGTGTCAGTAAAAAGAAAGAGTCAGTCAGTAAAAAGTTTGCAGATTGTCAAAAAAAATTCTTGGGCTGGCAACCTGCCTCAGTAAAGAATTTGAAGGGGGAGGGAGAGAAACAACTAGTCTTTCCATGGCAACTACATGGGATTCTTAGATGCTATGAGACTTGAGAAAACAAAAACTTATTTTCCTGTTTTAGAATAAAGAATATATTTTAATAGATTCACATATACATCGAGATATGACAGAAGAGAAACAGCATCAGGCTGTAGACCTTTAAGGAAATAGTCCCAGATAGCTTCCTGCAATACCAATACACAGGAAGCGAGTGGAGAACTTAACCCTTTTACTCTAGTCTTTAGAGCATAAAGTGGTTGGAACTTAAAATGAAGATGATTCCACCCGATTTTCTTTCTGCAGGCGAAGTGACATAAGCTTTGAAAAATCTAGGAAGTGGTGATCTCCAGAAGCTGAGTGACTACTCTTTCTGGGAGCACTACATAACAAGGAAACTCCATTTGAGAGTTGTTCCGTCTGGCTTTGAATCCAGTAGTAGCAGCTATTACTGCAAGGAGGAGGCAGCAGAAAATGTCTGGTTTTAGTGTTTTCTGTTTGCAACTTGAAAGCAGGCACAGTAAGTCAGCATCGTTCTTGCAATTTTTCATATAAGAGGGTAGAAAACATTCTACCAGTTGCAGCTAACCTGTTTATTGAAGTACGTGGGACTAAAAGCCTATTAAAAAAAGGAAATGAAGAGGGTAAGAGAAGCAGTCTGGCTTAGTTTGAGGAAGTAAGCTCAGGACAGCTGTACACCCAATTTAAAACATACTAAACCAAATAAAAGGGATTTAGATGCATCTTGGTATAACTGTTGTTGTTAATCATTTAAAGAGTAAACCCTGATGCCTACTTCATATCTGTCATGAATTTGTCTGTTGATCTACGGTTTACCATACTAGGCTAATCAGGTGAGAGGCAGGAATAATTTAATTTGAAATTATAAATTTTAGCTAGGTCAGAATTAGCAAGAGCAACAACTTGTGTGCCTGATTCTCTAGTGCCCTGTATCTCATGCAGTCCTTAATACAGGTGCAGGATACCTTATTAGATATTGTTCTACACCCACATTGCACTGCTATAAATAACTACATAAGTGCAAGGTAATGCAGAATCTGAGCCGGTCTCAAAATTCCCAGGGCATAGAGGAAATCATGACTCAGAAAGACAACAAAATGATGATTTTTATGGCTAAAGAACAACATAAAAACACTGTTCTACCTAACTCTGCCTGATACTGACTTCAATATCAAGAAATGGCAAGACTTTCTGCCAGTGAAGCAAAGAAGAAAAGTCATTGTGCTATCTGAACATAGTGCATTCAGAGAAGACAACTGAAAAAAGAGTTAACTGGGCAGAATGTTTCCCACAAATAAATGAAAGAAAACTATCACGGGCCTTTCTTTCAGAAGGAGTCACTTGATACAATTACTTGACGTTTTTTCCTCAGACTAAAAAACCATTTATTTATTTGATTTATATGCCACCTTCCCAAAGAGCTGCTTACAATAAGAGAATGGGATATCATAAAATAGCAATGACAAGAGAACAAAACATTTTAAAGGGAATAAGAATATCAACATAAAATTGAAACCACCTCCCCCCAATCCAGGCCAATGCACTATCTCAGCTTAGCTCTGCCTGCGAAATGCCTGCCCAAATAGGAAGGTCTGAGAGCTTCCAAAAGATATCCAGGCTTGGGCTCTGGCAGGCCTCAAGAGGGAGGACGTTCCATAGCTAAGGACCAGCTGCCAAGAACAACCTCCAGTGCACTTTTGCCAAGTGGACTTAAGATCCTGATGGTACTTGCAAGAGGTTATTTTCAACTGACCTTAGGAATCATGCTGGGGTGTAAGGGAGAAGGCGTTCCCTTAGATATACAAGGCTCAGATCGGGTTTTTTTTGGTAGTTCAAAGCCAGCACCTTGAATTGCGTCCAGAATGTTATTGGGAGCCAGTGCAGACCCTGGAGCACTGGATTTATGTGCTCCTGGTGACCTACCCTGTCAGAAGGCAAGCCACTATGTTCTGCACTTACTGCAGCTTCCAGATGGTTTTCAAGGGCAGCCCTAAATAAGGGCATTGCAGAAGTCTAGCCTTGAGGCCAAAGGCATGGATGATGGTAGCCGGGTCTGAATCTGAAAGAAATGATCATAGCTTTTGCACCAGATGGAGCTGGTGACAGGTATTCCTGGCCACTGCTGCCATATGATGAACCCAGTACATAACAAGGGGAAGCTGAACCACATTAGTGATAAATGTCCCATTCCCCCACAAGTCAAGTGGCTGACCTATCTCTGTCAGTTTAAACTGGTTCACCTACATCCAGTTCTCAAATGCAGCCAGGCACTGGAAAAGGATTGAGACCGAGGTCATGCTCAGAAGAGAAGGAGAGGTAGAGCTGGATGTCATTAGTATACTGATGGCATCTCACTCCAAAACTCTGCACAAATTTCATGCAATGGTCTCATATATACATTGAGCAGGAGGGGTGACAGGTCTTGGGGGACCTCACAGGAAGATCCCCGAGGAGATGCCAAGCACTTGCCTGTCACCACCCTCTAGGACCTCCCTTGCTAAGAAAAAGCAGACCCAATTTAGAGGTGTCCCACAAAACACCCACCAGGTCATGTAAGTATTTCATCGCCAACTGCAATCAAAGGCTGCTGAAGATCAGCAGGGCAATTCCCCTTGTTGATCTCCAGGCAAAGATCACCGACCAAGGCCATAAGCGCGCACAGTTTCAGCGCTGTCTCTAGGAAGAAAGTTAGATTGACAGTGGTCCAGGAAACCGATGGCATCCAGATGTGCCTGGAACAGTCAGGTGAGCATCTGTTCATTGACCTTCCCCAAAAAGGGGAGGGTGGAGACGAGTAATAATTGGCTTGGGAGTTAGCATCAAGCGATGGTTTCTTCAGCAAAAGCTGGGCAATCACAAACAGAGCCAGATTACTGCATGAGCAAACTAGGCATATGCCTAGGGCCCTAAGTGAAGGGGCCTGGTTGTGCTTATTTTATATATTATAATTAAGTGAAAAAAAGCAGGGGCCCATGAGCTGTTTGCCTACGGTCCACTAAAGGGTTAAACCAGGCCTGATCACATACTTAAAGCCCAGCACCCTGCCCACCTGATAGTAACCTTTGCCTCTCAAAAAAAAAAGTATCATAAAGAAACAAGGAAAAGGAATCCACCAAAATCCACTTAAAACTTCCTACCTGACTTGAAAATTGTGTGGAAGGATTTATCATTTAAGAGAAACTCATTTGCCTCTCAAAACTTCAAAGTAGGATTTGAGGCACTCTGCAATTTGATTTAAAAACCTGCGCAGTCAATGTAAAAACCATCATTGAAGGGAAAAAACACAACATGTTTTCCTGCAAATAAAAAGTAAATCATGTGCCTTATTTTAATTCCATCTTTGCTGATAACATTACAGATAACCAAAATCTATCGTGTAGCAATCTTGATTATCCGGTTTCAAGAAAACACAGATCCTTCTGAAAAAATTTCAGCATTCCAATCAGTTAATGTACAATGCACAACAATATCCAATCCCTGTGGAGAAAACAAAGTATTTTAACAAGTAAAAATTAAGCAAAACCCCAAACTGTAATTTTATATTTAAAAATACTTTAGTTTTCATTCCGGATCACTTAGAAACATTATGAACAAGTTTAGAACAGTGTTTAACAAAAATAGCAATGAGCACATGGTAAAAACAACAAGAAAAAAAGCCTTTATGCTATTTACAAATTATTTACTTTGTATTTTTAAAAATTCTGAAAATTTTGCAAGCGATTTGTGTTTTGTTTTTTTTATTTTTATTTTATTTTTTTTTTAACTTTAGTGAATACCATTTAGAAAATAGAATGGTCTTACTCCATCCACAGGGTACTACAAAAATTATTCTTCTTTCATAGGTCCTTTAAGAAGTGGAGTTCTTGAATAGTAAAACTTTCTTTTTTACGTTTGTTGCTTAAAAAACATTACTAAGAGCTTCCAAGCGTATGAATTAAAATGCAACGAAAAGATGGTCTTTGTACATGTCTGAAAATATTACTAAAATAAGCTAAATTTACATAAGTACTCTCAAAATAACACAATGGGATTCAACTTCATTTTAGACATTTGGAAAGCAGTGTCATACTTTATTTAAAATAAACCCATGTAAAAACAAAGTTAAAATGAAAATGGTACCTGAAAAATAAATTATTTGATATAAAACAAATCAATAACTTAAAAACACACTAAATATACAAAATGTTTAACCATATACTGTACAGTATGGAAAACAATTGATAAAGTCTTCTGTCCCACAAACAGATTACTTTATAAACAAAAAGGTTACATAAGTTAAGGGAAAGAAAAAAAAAAAATCAGTAAAAAGACTAGAAGTACAGTATTATTCAAAGTTACTGATCAAATAAAGATTTATCCAAAATTATGATGCTTCAAATGTCTCAAGTCATTTTCTTCTTAATGACCAAGTGAAAAAGTTTACCTTTATCACTGAAAGGTTGTTTTAAAATGCCTAAAAATAGGGAACAATAATTAATGAGAATAATTTTAAAATGTGAACTCAGTAGCAATATTTCAAGATTTCAGATGGTAGTTCCGCTTTTACTGAATTTCCATCATTATTAACAAATGCATTTAGTGTTTAACGTTCCACTCAACAGAAAAATATTTGTAGTTTAAATTGATCCTTTTTTTAACCAGGTGTGATATATAACAAAACTGCAGCAAGACTGAACAAAGTAACAGGTTCTAAAGGCAAAGCCACTCACTGGGTGCTTTGTGTTGTTTTAGAAATCATAGGAGTTTAACATCAATTGTGGTTTTTTTTAATCATGCACAGGGAGAAAGATTACACCTAATTTTTTACTTTTTACTACATATGAAGGCTACAAACAAGGCAAATGGAAAAAAAATAATGCTGTATTTGATTTAAACCAAGAAAAGGTGTTTTGTTTTAAGTTAACTGTAATTTTCAATTCTACTGGTTGCACCATGTAGATACTAAGTTTTGCATTATACAAGTACCTTTTTCTTACAAATAAAAATGAAGCAATTATGTTCTCTTATGTCTTGTAGTTTTATAACACAGTGGAAACAAGTAGTATATGCCTATCATATGCTGAGCTTTATCAATGTTTATTTTAACCATCTTGGGATAGTGTTGGGATTTCCCAACATGAAACAGTAAACGCAGACCTATGTTTAGGAACCTGCCTTGAAGACAGCAGGTGTCCCTGCTGCCAAACAGAGATTAAAGTACACATGGTACACAGTGACAAATTCACTCCTTGAAGAAATGGATACAACCCCATGAATGGAGTTGTGCCTGCTGATGCTAGGTGTGAATTTGGTCCCTTCTACCTAAAGCTTTACTTAGGTGCCAAAATATAGAAATGGTATAATAAGGTGCTTAATTGACAGTGTTACTAAGAGCAAGCTTCCCTATAATGGAAGTCAAAATATATGGTAACTTACACTAAGACAGCTGTGCTCAACCTTCTGGCCCTGCAGGCTGCATGAGTGACTCAGGGCAGGTCCACAGGCTGGATGGGCAGGGCTGATCTATGAACCAGATCCCATGTACAGTTAGTGTGTGGGGTTGAGTCAGGGTGTGATCCTGTCCATCAGCTCAACTGCAGATCAATCCATCTGCAGGATCTGGCCCACACACCAGATCTGACCACAAAGCAACCCCATGTATTGATGCAATCTGGTGTGCAGGGCCTTCTGGCTTGCAGTGCTCCCCACAGGTCCAGAATTTTGGAAGCAAGGAGCAGCAGCAGCATTAATTGCTAAGGCTCTGGAGGACATGGCAATTAATGCTGTCACCACCCCCCCACTGTCAAATGTCTGGACTCATGGGGAGCTCTGCAGGTCCAATTACACAGACCTGCACGCTGGATTCAGCCTGCAGGCTGGAGGTTCAGCAACACTGCACTAAGAGGTAGTATTATGACACAAAACTCTATATTTTACTTTTGTAAATTATGGTGACCCAATAATTAATTAAAAATTGTACAATGAAAAAACATGTTTTCAAACTGTAACAATGCATTGCAAGTAAATATCAGGGGGCCTAATTCCAATAATTTTTTTGTTAGAACTAACCTAGCATATTTAGAGACATCCTTCTGAAGTCCATTACATGTTATATAATTAAGGAAACTTTAGTTTAAGTTTAAACTTTAGTTATTTCAGTTTTATGCTAAACTGAAGCAAGCTTTCAAAAACTTCTGAGGAACCACCATTTTATTGCCTTAATCCAGAAGATTAAATAATGTAAAATTCTGCAACTGCTTATAAAGAGCTCATTTGAAATTGAATATTAAAAAAAACTGGCTTGTCTTTTCAAGAATGAGCAACATTTATACTGTTGAACGTCCTCTACAGTAAGTGCTACAGTAACCTACTTCAAAATTTTGAATTGCTTTGCAAGAGTAAAATTGCTACAACTTTCCATGCTGCTGTAAAAATACTACAAAAACAGATGGCTTTACAAACCTTCAGGTGCAAAGGTATTCAAACCATTTGCTGTCTGCAAGTGTAAATGACCACATACTGATCATCTACAGTTAACTGCAGTGATAGATCCATAATTTGTTCCAATGGCTTGGATACCTCAGTATTTTTAGTGTGTTTTCTGATGCTATCATGATACAGATGTGCTGAAAATCAAAATAAAAACAAACCAAAAAACCAAACAAACAACAGGAAAGGAAAAAAAAAGTTTGAACACACACCACTGGTAGGACACTGCTCAGGACAGTGATGTTTCCTGATGCTTCCCCTTCCACCCCAAGCATGCTCCTGAAATCCTTCACAGTCCCAAACCTAGGAAGTTGAATGGCGGGGTGCCACAGGGCTCAGGGACATGAAAACAGCATGGCTACATTGATTCAGATCTCCTTCCTCCACATCTTACAGCATTGTAGGGCACGGAAGTTTAAAGAATCCAAACTGTTATGATGAAATGGCTTCAGAGGAGGATGATCCTCTCAACATTTACTTCAGTGCATGCATAAGAAAGTCCTGGTGTCTTTGTAATTGAAACACTCTAAAACCACTACAAGTTGCTTTGCTTCTGCTCCATTCATAGCTTTCATGATTCTCAGATTTATTTTGTTGCTGTCTTCTCACGTGAAGGAGTTGCATTTACCTTTGCACAAATGCACACAGCAACACTGTAATTTATTTGACTGCATTTACTGTGAAATGTCCCTCTGTGTAAAAAGCCAAAAGAGGCCCATTTCTGAAGACTCGATACATAGGCCTTGGCTGCTAGAGAGGTAAAAATCTTTCCATAATGGAAACTTGTACAGTGAAAGTAAATGAACTGTTACAAGAAATTAGGAAAAGCCCATTTTTGAATAAATCCTTCAATCAATGTAAATTTTAAAAAAAAGTTTAAGTTTAACAGTTTAAATGTTAATTATGTATCTTAAAAAATAACAGCCGAAGCCCAGAACACTTTCACAGTCTTGGAGGATATTCCATCCTTTAATTAGGACAGCTTTACCTTACCTACAAATTGTCTCATCTTAGAGTGAAACTCCACCAGCCTTGCAAGAAGTGCCAGGTTTCCATATTCATATCAAATTACAGTGGCAGTCCAATGCAGTTAGTGTGTTTAGCACCTATACTTTGGTCCTGTAAGAGCCTGCTTAGAGCTATGATGGTAGGAAGTTCTTGCGGGAATAGAAAGACAGGTAAAAACAAAGGAAGTAAGATGCCAGCAGAGGTTCCCCTCCCAACAGAAACTGCAGGCTTGATGAAGGGGTATACCTGTGGCAGTCATGCAGCTTTGATTAAAAAATACCAATCCCACGCTGGAAGGTATCCTGTCACAGCTTTTCTGGCCATGGCTGGTTCAGGGTTAGACACAGAAATGGGCCTTTACATAATAGGATTTCAAATTGTGGTAGAAAAACAAGATTCTGGGGCAAATATCTGCCCAAGTATTAGAAGTCAGGGTCATCAGGCCAAAGAGAGTAAAACCTATGCCAACTCAAATCAGGGCATATCCTAAAAAAAGGGGATTATGCGAGTGAAAGGCATACCACTATGTGTATGTTTTAGTCACTAGTGTTTAAATCACTAGAGCATTCACCTTCCAAAACCAGTCCTTATAATTTAAGGCAGGAGGAAGGTAGCTGAATGTCGTAACAAATGACATGACAAATTCACTTTAAAATTGACCCATTTGGTTAAAAATAAATAGCATCACCGATCTGTTTTACTGTTCTTTCACCTGTTAGTCCCTTGAGCATTCATCAAGGTTTTCTTGAATGTAGGTAAAGGTAAGTGAATGAAAAATAGGCTCATTCTCAGAAATTTTTTTAAGCTTCCATGATTCCACTGTTGGCACAATCAGGATGGCCAGTGAAAAGGCTAATGCCCTCCAGACCCGCTAATCTTGATTCCGTGAAGTTCAGCTTCTTCTTCTTTGGATTAGAGCCTTGATACCACCTAACCCAGTGCACACATTATCCTCTGAAGCACAGTAATTGTAGCATTTGATGTTCAAGAGATTATCAGCTTGACTTTCATTAGGTCAACACTAGAGTGATGTCTGAATGCTGGGGGGGGAAGCAGATTAAAGGTGCCCACAGATATTTCACGATTATCACAAAGGGCTGAAGTCAGAAGAGTCCTCAGACAGTGTGGCCAATTGTGTGTCAGATTCAGCATGTGCAGGGCTGATCTGATCAGGATGCCTTAGTCCAGTTAGCAAGACCTGGCATTTTCCTATATCTTACTTCCCTGTTTTGACTGATGAGAAATCTGAAATGGAAAATGGGCCTTTACATGTATAATAAGCTCTTGAGAATGAGTTGTACAGCTCAAAAAGCTGCAACATGGAACACAGATGGAAACAGAGGTGCTTTCTTGAAGCACTTGTTCTGACTATTTGGTCATCCAAAAGGAAGAGTAATGACTCGTACACTCCCCCAACAGATGAAGTGCCAAAAAATACTAGAAATGCTGATGCTCTGATAGAAACTGGAAAATACCTAGTGCACTAGATGTCTAGATACAGAGCACGAGTCCGTCCAAACCATCAAGCAGAAGAAATTGAACGATTTCTTTTACTAGACTTCAGAGTTTTGCCTGAACCTCCACCATGCAGTCTTTACAGATGGACTGAGCAATGGGAGGTCCAGCAAGAGTCAAAACTCACCTATCTTAGTTATCAGAAACTGAATGCCTGCCAAAATTTCTCTGCTTGTGGAGTCAGACTGGCAACACTGTGGGTGGTGACAAGGAGGTCTGGTCTATAAATGAAGTGGCTTGGATGACTCAAAGGGACACATTCCACTCCTCAAGAAATTAAAAGAACTGTTTCTTTTCTTCCCTTTTCTCCTGGCTGGAAGAGTGGTAGATTACTCAGACGAATCAAACAGACAACATTAAACAGGACGAAAAGAAACCTGATGAAAGGAAGCATGGCCCAACATGTTACTAGAAATGGATTCTTCATCAATGGATGAAACCATTAAATTGTTCCTCACTCATGTAAGAGAAGAACACAAGACAAAAAAAATTAATGCAGCTGAAGCCACCAACAAAAGGACAGTGGTGTCACAAAATCTTCAAGGAGAATTTTAAACTAAGAATAAGGCTTGGTAAGCTCTCAGTAGTAAAACTAACATAGCCTACTCAAGATGTTTTACAGAGTAGCATCCCCCTTTTAACATATAATATATATATATAATTTATTAAAAGGTTAAAAGGGTGGATGCTACTCCGTAAAACATCTTGAGTTGGCCATGTTAGAGGAGTTTTACTACTACAAGCTTACCAAACCTTACTCGTGTGTGTGTGTGTGTGTGTGTGTGTGCGCGTTTTAAGGAGCCAGGAAATGAAAGCTACTACAAGAAAGATCCTGGGATCTTGACAGATGTACTGATGGAAGAGTCAAAAGGCACAAAAAGTTCTGAAGACAAATAGAGGTGATGGAAAAGGATGGAGTGTGTTTATTTAAATAAGGATCTCAGGATGCAATATGGAGCAATGGATCAAGCAACACTGCTAATGCCCAGAGGACATGGGAAAAGGACAACTTTCTGAGAAGGGAAGGAAATGGAAACGCACGGGAAAGGGGTTGGTGAAGGGTCCTGTTCCAGGGCTATTGTTTAGAAAGGACATCCAACTCAGCTGAGCATAGATGCACCTCAAGAGCTTGGGGTTGGCAGAAAAGGGAAGGTCGCATCTATAAAATGGCAGAGAGCACTTGAATTAACTGCATGTGAACTCAGCCTCGCATGCTCTACATAGCCAGAGATGATGTCTACCACCACTGAGCTCTCCTGGAGTCAGCTGAGAAGGGCTATGTGCAGCAACAAACCAGCAGGTTACTGGATAGGCGAATGACTGCCTGCTGACTGAAGGAAAAAACAAAAAACACACGCACCCCACATACTGAAATTAGAGCAAAGTCCCACAGTTGTCTGAACAAGAGAGAAAAGTGCCAAAAATAAACGATGGCAATGAGGAGGGGACAGAAATCCAGAGGTGGCACAGGACTGTAGGTCCTGCTGCTGAAAGAGGGCTGCAAAGCAGAATCTTCAAGAACCAGCTTTTGGGCACTAAACAAACACATGCACTGAACCATCTCCAAAACCCAAAGGGGAGGCCTGACTACTCATTGTTTTTTGGAGATTGGCAGAGATTCGCTCAAAAGAAAAATGCTGCTGAATTGTCCCAATTTCTGCATTTCCTCTGAACTTTGGTGAGAAAACCCAGATAATGTTCTTAAAAGTCACTCAGGTGGAGGACCCTACTCCTGCACACTATGTACCTACCTCCCCTGCATATGCTGTATCTGACATAAGAAAATCCTTTTCAGACTTTCTAAAGGAACATCTACCATATTTTTAAATCACTGTGGCACATACTTCTTATGTGACAGGGTTGTTATAGTGCTTTTCTTTTCACATAATTTTTTCTCCTATGCATCTGTCAAAGGAGAATTATATTATTTTAACGAAGAACTATAGTTCTTTTTTTTAAAACAATACTCTTTAAAAGCTGGACACTTTGTGCAATACTTAGCAAAAAAAATAATATAAAATAAAAAACAAAACAAAATTTGAGCAAAACAAAATCAAATTTAATGGTCTTAAATGCAAAAGTAAAAACAAACAAAAAACACAAAAAAGCAAAAGAAAATTAACAGAAACAGAACAACTCAAAGATTCAAGGCAGTCTGCAGAAAACTTGGGGGATTAATCTTTAAATCTACAAATCAAGGTTTTTTAAAGTAATATCTAACTTGCAAGAAGTAAGTACTTTTCTGCTGAGTGTTCAATACGTAAAGCTAGTCATCAAAACAAAATCCTATTAAAATAGAAAAATCTAGCACTCATTAGAAGGGATGCGAGAAATACAATGCTCAAATGTTTAACTGTTTTTACAAAATAAAACTGCCCTTAGGTATTCAAAACAATAACGATCTTTGAAAATGAATAAGAATCTTGCTGCATTATAATGTACCAGTAAGTAGTGCACCATGCATTGATATCTGGACAGAAGAGATTCAGTTTGGTAAACAACATATATTCACACTGTTTTTGGAGTTTCGTTTTGACTCTGAAATCCTCCCAGAGTTTCTCTGAAACTCTTTGGTCCATTCCTATTAGAAAATGGGCTTTAAAAGTATTTGTAAAACCTTTTAATTTGACAACTTGGCTACTCTTCAGTGTGCAACTTACCTCATCAATGGTGTTAAAAGTTATGCTAGCATGCTACTACTTACAAGACCTTCACTTTATAAAGTCTACTCCTCAACTAAATGTAGCGATGAAAATTACTTTATAAAGCAGTATACTGCCAACTAAAACAACAGTGCTTTCAACTTTTTTCCAAGCTTCAAAGGGGACGGGGGAATGACACACTAATGGAGTCAGCTAGATAGTTCGAATAAAAAAATTCCAGTTTTTGCAGACAATATTCAATGGAACAAAATTCAGTCTCATAAGTGAAAGCATGCTTCAATTTTACCACCATCCAGAGGGACTTAAGCTATTAGGGGCTTCTTATATATATGTTTTCAATGAAATAACTTAAGGAACTTAAAATTGGTCTAACATTGTGGGATTTCAAACATTTGAACATGTCAGTTGCATCCCAGAGTATAAAAACCTTTTTCACTTCTCATTTAGACTAAGACAAACACTTGTGAAAATTGGCGCAAAATGAGTTTTACACTAACAAAAATGTTTCAACTTCTGTCACTCAATTATCTATTCCATACAAAAAGCACGAGCAAGTTATTTGTGGGACTTGTTGGTTTTGAAGGAAACCTGTAAGATTTTGTCCCCCAGGCGGTAGCCATTAAGACTTGCTATGGCCATTGCAGCTTCTTCATAGTTTGTCATGGTCACAAAACCAAAACCTTTGCACTTGTTGGTGTTGAAATCTCGAATAACTTTCACATTGGTAACCGCACCAAAGGGGCCAAACATCTGCCAAAGGATTCCCTCATCAGCATCTTGACCAAGGTTGTAGATGAAGATACACCAGCCAGAAGATGCGTTTCCTGGAACATTTACACCAGAAAGCCCACTCATGTGATCTACACCCATAGGAGAGAACCTAGCAAATAAAAAGCACAATATTTCATGTAAAAGTTCAATTCAATCAAATAAATTAATTTGAATGGGAAGCAACTGAATAAATATTCTTAAAACTTCTAGTCAAAATATTTGACCCTCCCCATTTACCATAGGATAACCAAATGTCAGCAGGTAGAAAGAGAAAAAAAAGAGAGTCAAGTGCTTTGAATTTGTCACCAGGAGCAAGGGGAAATTATAAGGAGAAAGGGCTAAGCTAGGCAATAGCTGCAAAGTAGGATTATGCAATTTCCACTATGTGGGGCAATCAACGCTAGTTTGAAGCTAATCTAAACTTTCAGGATACTTTATGGCATCAATATTGAACTACTAAATGCTACCGAGTACCAGAGGCCTCCCACAAGCCTCAAACCATCTTCAGCCATCCCCATTTTCTCTCAAAGAGGCTTGTATAGGGCCTCCTGGAGCAGGGTCTGCCTCTACAATAGATTCTCATGGCTTCTCCATTCAAATTTTCTCTCATGCGAAGCATAATGAAGCTTGATCTCTTGTCCACCGTAAGGCAGCAGGTGAAGGCAACCACTGTCACTTCTGACTGGCAGATACAGATACAGGTACCTCAATCTCTAACAAGGTACTCAGTACAATATTAAAACTTCTGTAGTAACTGCCCACTAGTTGGAACGACCCACATTGTTAGTAGAGTATCACTGCCAGTGGATTTAGACATTTTTTTTAGTAATTTGTATGTTAACGATTAATAATTTTATATTTAGATACCGACTAATGTATAGTTGGCAGAAGAACTGTAATAATCATAAACAGAGTTTAGTTACAATTTTTCCTTTTCGTTGTTTTTTTAAATGTAAATGCTTTCATCTCGTGTCATTCAAATCCATGCCTTACTAGTAAAACTCTTGACTTCAATGCATTTACTCCTGATTTACACCAGTACAGAAAAACAATCAAGTCCAGGGTGACTGTCCTACCCCGTGCACATCGTCCTCTCGCTACTCCCTGCAAATCCTGCCTCAGCGCTACCTGCATAGACCCCAGTGCAGTACTTCAAATGAACATGAGACTTTACTCTCAATGTTTTCTTTCTTCCCCAACTTAAATTCTACTCCTTCACCTATTTTGTCCCTCATGTTCCATTTCTATCCCATAACCTAGGAAATTTAGTGCATTAAGTTATTTTAAGAAAACATCAAAAGTTGCATAGCTAAGTACACAAAAACTTTAAGAAAAGTCCAACTGAAAGTCAAACATAAAATGTAATTCTGTTCCCATGTACTTACAATTTGATCATGTAAATGTGTATTCGCATGTGACTGAAGAAGTACCAAACTGCATTAATTTGAAAAAGCAGCTGGCATGCTAGAAGCAGAAAAAGCATTCTAGAACACATCAGGTGCCCAATATTAAATTGCTAATATGCCAAAATTGCCCAACTTCTTGGACAATGCTTTGCTGAGCAGACTCACTAACTTCATGACTTGCCAATATTTATTTCACTTTAAAAAGTTTAGTGTTTTGTGCATCTTTTCCATGTTATTTTTGGACTTTTTAATAAAAAGTCCAACCCCCCCCTTATTTATTTACACGTGACCAGAAAGAGGCCTGGTTTTGGGTGTTTGTTTTTTTTTGTTTTGTTTTTTTTTTTAAGATTTACATCTCAACAGATCACCAATCCTGGAGACGGCCATGGATGGATAGGAGGAACTCACTGAACTCAAAAGTTATGCAACGTTGGTTCCAGCAATCAGTACCTTGTTGTGCTCCTTGTATTTGGGTACTAGGTTCAACAACACCCTAGTGCAGCAGTTAGCTCCTTTTTAGCTTAAACACTAAAGAGGAAAAACAGCTTTCTGTGTGGATGAAGGAGGAATAGCCAAGATATAAATCACCAATGCAAAACAATTATAAGAACTAATCTGTTCTCTAGAAAAAAAAAAAAAAAAAAATCAAATCAACAAAATGTCTTACTCCTAGAAACTAAAAAGCTCCAGGGATGTCCCCAAGGCAGCCCACAAAGAAAGCAGCTACAATAAGCATTCTGGGTATATGAACACAAGGGGCTGGCTTATAAAAACAGAAAGAGGTACGATACCCCAAACCCATGGAAGACTGGAGACATTCCAAAGAAGTAATTTAAAGGTTCTCTGGTCTATAAAGCAAACTTGCAGCAACTGAAAAATGTGTGCGCAGAACTCCACATGTCTACCCCACAAATTTTTATCATCTCTTCCTGAACCATGAAGTTTTGTAAGCTCTTGGGGCGCTATAGTGCACCTATGGATGTTTCTAATTAGTATATTTAGACAAATCCAAGATGACCCTGAATTTAAGACAACCCCCTCAATAATTAGTCTCTGTATGTGGGAAATATAGAAAACAAATTGTTATAATTTCCATGTACAGAATCTAATTAAAGGAGGGTCATCTTAAATACGTCCCCAGCACCGCTGAAGTGGGGAAAGCAGCAGGGGGTGGTGGTGGGGTGATATGCAGCCTCCTTGCCCTCTGGCCCTTCCGCCTGCAGCTTGTCTGCCCTCTTCCCTCCCCCGCATTGTGCTGGACCCTCTACTCCATGCAGCCACTGCCCGCCCCCCTCCCCACTCCCTTACTGTCAGATGCAGCTTAGGCTTCACTCCCTCCCAGGCACATGGAAGCACATCCCCTGCCTGGCCATGCAGCAGCATGCTGGGGCAGAGCAGCCACCACGGCTCATTGGTTGGGCAGGGGGGGAATGGTGTTTCCATGTGCTCTGTAGCTCTGGAGGGGATAGAAATAGAACCAGACATGCACTGACAGTAAGCAGGGGGGGGCAGCACACAGAGGCTGGAGGAGCTGCTGCTTCTGCATGCCCTGGGTTGCAGCCTGTTGTGTGCCCTGTGAACTACAGCAGCCACCATGGCACAGGGCACACCATGTGGCAGCTTTGGCACAGGGCAGCAGGGGCAACTTTGGCTTGGGGAACACAGCTGGAGCTGGCACTGCCATATGCCCTGTGCCAGAGTTGGAAGTGCTGGAGTCAGACCTGATGCCATGTGACTTGGGAAGCTTTTCTAGTCTAGATCTGGCCTGGGGCATGAGGCGAGTTTGACAACCCTGCTATACAAGGGAAGAGCTTTCCCTCAATTTACATAATGGTAACAGGATAAAAAGAAAAAATAATATTTGGGGCATAGGGAGGGGGAAATGGTAAGCTGTTTGCTTTTTTGATCACTTCTTACAATAATAAGTTTTTATTGAGCCGTCTCCAGTAACTCCCAGATCTTTTTTTTTTTTCCAAATAATTTTTACAACCAACTAGAATCCAACTGTGTTCCATTGTTTGACCCATGTACCTTGACAGCACCATCTAACTGCAGTCTTTCCACACTGATATAGTAAAGGGTGTAATCAGAAAATCACGTGTCCCAGAGAGCATCAGTACGTGAAAGAAGGACCTATTCTAGAACTCTGATGCAAGATTGTTCTGCTCAGACAGACCAAATTCCTTGGGAATTAAGTTCTTCACTATAGACTACACAGAGATTTTGCCAAGCACAATGCTTCCATACCAACTATAAACTAGATTTAGATGACTTAGAACGAGTGTGAACTGGTACAACCCTCTACCACCTCCTCTTGCTGGACTCATAGCCACTCTTTCACATTCATAGATTGTAGTTGGAAGGGACCCTGAAAGATCATCGTGTCCAACCCCCTGCCCCAGGCAGGAAAAGGACTGAGGTCAGACGATCTCAGTCAGGTGCCCATCTAGCCTCCTCTTGAAGACCTCCAAGTTAGGTGATAGTACCACCTCTCTCTTGGCAGCCCGCTCCAGATTCTGGCCAGATCTTTTATTCAAATCCCTGTTCCTCACAGGGAATTCACAGTAAAACAGAAACACGGGCTTTTTCTTGGGCTCAAGTCAAACAGTGCCTTCTAAGAGTCATAAAATCATAGAAAATTAGGGTTGGAAGGGACCTCAGGAGGTCATCTAGTCCAAACCCCTGCTCAAAGCAGGAGCAGCCCCAACTAGATCATCCCAGGCAAAGCTTTATCTAGCCTGGTCTTAAAAAAACCTCCAAGGATGGAGATTCCACAATTTCTTTGGTTAACCTGTTCCAGTGCTTTACTACCCTCCTAGTGAGAAAAGTCTCTTCCAGGCTTACAAAAGCAAGCAGACTGCTTACAAATTTTAAAAAAAAGGTACTTTACATTAAACTAAACTCAGTGTGTCCCTGCACTGAACCCAGCACAGGCCCAGAAGAGGCAAGGTGTTAGTTCGACCTGGCTCACACAACGTCTGTATAGACTGGGCGCTTCTGTGGGGCTTTTTTGGCACTTTTATCAAATAGCCAAAAAGCCCCACTGAAGCACTCTACCTATACAATGCGGAGCCAGTCAAACTAACAGGCTGCATCTTCCAGTAAAGCGCTATTTTGTTCTGTTTTTTTTTCATTTCTGTCACCAGCCATAGTGCCTTTCTCCAGGCTTATAAAACAAACAGTACTTGTTCTCAATGTTTTGAAAGCAACCTGCACCTTTCAACAGGCTGCAAAAACTTTCCAGACTCACTCAACCTCCTTTTGCCCCTTCTCTTGCAGGTAGAGCCTTCTTTTGTACTCTAGACTGGGAATCCG